GCTTCAGATGAGAGTGCGACGGGAGAAGGTGACCTCCGAGGTAAGATTTTGGCACTTTAATCTGAACGTGATAGCCTGTTCATTTTAATATGAACATTTTCGTACACAAGGATTTGATTATTAATTAGTGTCGTGTCTGAATTGCAATGTATTAATATACACCGCAATCTATAAAATCTAGTTAATACGCTTGATGGTGCGTGTACAATGAACAGCGTTTTGCTAAACTTATAGTGATAGTTCAATCCTTCATTTCCAAGGTCACAATCGAATAGCAGTAACGCGGCATTATTATTCAAGTTTCATTTGTGCCATTTTTATTTCCATGTAACCTTGTATTTCTACAAGGTTATATGTATACACAGGTTATATGTACTGTATATTATATGTATATCACCTTGTACTTCTCTTATATTTCTCCAATCAAGTGCATTAATTCTCTAAGTTAGCGATTATCATTCAGAAGTGTATTATTTTCAGCCACAATCGCACACAATTGCTTAACTTCACCCCTTCCTTGCACTTACATGAGTCGTTTCGTCTACAGATCTCGAAGGAAACAGATGACGACGAAGACAGTGATGGCCACGGAGGAGCTCAGAACGATGGAGGTGAGGTCATGGAAAGGGACATCTGCGACGAGAAGAGCATTGAACTAGCTATTGCTGAGGCTAAAGGTTACACGGGGCGATTAGTTAAGTCGAGTACAGTTTTGCAGGCTGAGAGCCTGTACACGAGGAGAATGTTTTCAGTACAGTGCGCAGTAAGGTTTTCAGTACAGGAGTTGTCGAGTAAGGTGTGTGCATGGTGGAGCAAGCGAGAGCTCAAAAGCTGTGCGCGCTACAGTGAGCAAGAGAGAGCGCGACACAGCTATGCTCAGTACAAAGGCCGAGCCGCCAGTGAGCACACTAGTGAGTATATAGTGACTAGTCTGTCTAGAAATAACTTGAGCTGCTCTGGGTGCCGACTAGTCGACGCATCTATTCGTCTCGTGTATATGCACCTTATAGGTGCTTATACACGATTCAGAGGCGATTAGCTGTTGCATTGCATCCAGAGCAGCTCAAGTTGTTTCTAGACAATTTAGTCATTTTAGTGTGCCCACTGCCCAGTGCCCCAGTAGCGGCTCAACCTTCGTACTTCGTAGAGTGCATACACAACGCAAATTCGTTCTACCCGCAGATTCTCCTGTGGAATTAACAATTCAATGCTATGCAATTGCTAATGGTACTTACCGTTTTACCTTACGGAAAATTAAATAATAGCACATATATAGCTTCAAATCTCGTAACAAATGGCGATAGAGGATATCCCGTATTGTTCATAGATGCAACAGACTAAAATGCAAATTGAATGCTTTTAAATGCAGATTTCGAATCCGATACCAACCTTCTAATTTTTTTAATCCGTTGAAATTTTACGCGTGAAAATGTGATCCATTTTTCTCTTGATGAATTTCCGCTAATGATGACCAATAGGTTTATTGATGTATTTTTAATGTTGTATAGTCACATATTTTCCGACTGGCACGCGCGAGTATTTTCTCCAAATATACGTAATAATTGAATTTTTTGCTGACATGGCGTCGCATTTTACTGCTGACGTCGCGTCGCCTTATAAGTCGAGACTATGTTTGGAGAAACAATAGACAAGATTTTAGTCTATCGTCGTTCTAATTTTATTGTGAATTTCGTTCTCTATAACGTTTCATGTTGCAACGCAATCTCCGTAGCACTAGTTTGATTTATTATTTTAAGGTGTTGTTATTATGACAGAGTATGGTGCTGCGATTTATATAGTTGTATTTATTGATGTGGTATTTTTCAGAGGCAACGGCTGCTAGGATCCTTGGTACTTCTCAACCCAAATGGTATAGGCTGTGCGACAAGCTCTGCGGCAAGCTGTGCGGCAACCACTGATCCATTACTTACAATCGTCTGGTCGTCAAGCATCTACAACCATCACAAATTGTAGAGGGATCGTTGTTCGTCAAAATTGAAGACACAATCCATAAATTTTTTCTAACGTCAATGATAAATTTGATCACTGTAATTAATGGTGTGGTGAGTTAAATAATATTGTGTTAATTACTTAATCCATGGCAGGACAGGTTCGTACCATTATGTCGACCGAAATACGACTCAGTCAAATTATTCAAATGTCCCTCCAGGGCATCCACGAATTTTCGTTGGAGTTGAAACGCCAAGCTAAATTAACGAGAGCGCTCGAAAAATTTATTACTTTGAGTGACGCAATCGTGTCTATGGTAACCACAGACATTTGTCTCGTGTCAGTGAGCACTAATCTTTTGAGAGGAGCGTCTGGGTAAAAAAATCGATAAATTTGGCTTTTCCGTTTTCTTGGCTCATTTCGTAGGTGCTGAAAAGGCGCATCTAACGCAGTAAACCGTATGTATGCGTACTTCAGTTTTTGCTGAAAGAAATTTCAAAAATATATAAATGAACACTTTTTATTAATATGTACAAAGATTTTTTCAAATTTAATCGGTATTTATAGAACATTATTTTCGTTAATTGCAAAGTGTTCGCACTCGTTTGAAGCTACAGACAAGACGCGTTTAATAAAGCTAATATCATGGATATACATGCAATAATTTTTGCGCAAGGCTGTTTTGAACTTCAATAAAAGACCATTTTATTATAATATACACACGTATTAATTTGAAAAAATTGAATTTATAGATAATTCTTCGCGTTAATTACAGGGTGCTTGCACTCGTTTAAAAGCTACAAGTTTTGCGCGTACAAGAAAGCAATTAAATACCACGGATGTACATGGAATGTTTTTTTGTGTTAGGCTATTTTGAACTCATGGAAAATAAACATTTTATATATATATATATATATAAAAGTCACATTTATAGCTTCTTATTCACGTTAAACTGGACAAGAATATGACGCGTACTGGTACTCGAAATGCAACTAATTGGTAATGGGAAAGCTTGGGCCACAATATCAAGCAACTTTTGTGGCATATTGTGCTTTTTTCAATTAATTTTACTTTTTTGGCTCCCTCGAATAATTACCATTTGCAAAATCCACCATCTTAAACATCTATCTCCTATGATTTTCAAGCTACATCATTGAGAGATATGCCATTCGATTCGTAAAGAAATATCTAGCGATCCACCGATGACATTCCTAATTTCGTTTTAGTTTGGATCATATATTGAAAAAAACGAGGGAGGTGAGGAGAAAAATGAAAAAATCAGAAAAAAAGCATCATAAAAAATAAAAAAATGATCAGTCGATCGCTAGATATTGTCTTTACGAATCGAATGATATGTCTCTCGATGTTGTAGCACGTTAAATGAATGATTTTTCGAATAATTTACACGAAAAAAATTTATTCATTTCTGTTTAACATTTGTGTACCAAGTTTCAAAATGATCCATCCGTAAATAAAAAAAAGTTTTTTATGACCCGCAGACGCTCCCCTTAAATTAAAAATGCACCTATTAACCAACAATACTGTATTAATGTGCGCCTTATAAAACTATTCGCACTGAAATATTTATACGTACAGGCGTCAACGACAATTTTAAGTAATTTCCCCTTCAAGCAAATCTTCAATGGTTTCAAATGTTACTCGATCATGAGCACTTCGACGTATATAAAATTCGACGATCTTCTTAAGTCGCTTTACTAACATGCCATATTATGATGGGTTCAGTCATGATTTCTAGCGCGTGTGATTTATAGAAATTGAAAATAACAATTATAATGATTTAGAGAGATTGTCTTGAATTATAGCAATTGTAATAATTTCTAGGATTTTCCGATATGCTTATTAGCTATCGATGTAAGCTATGATTTAACTTTTCCTCGGTTTAGTTTACTTATGTTATATTTCCGATGTATACTTTTGATTTGCGCGAAATTTCAATTTAATTTGTATTATGTATTGCATTTTTAGCGACTTTGTTCCCCATCTCACTGTTCCAATGGTCAAGATTGTCTTAAACAACTCAACGTAAAGTCAACTGAACTTATGAGCTAACGAGTTTCAGTAACGTTAGCGTACATGCAAAGAAACGATACTCTTTCATTTTAGGATCTCGTTTTTTTATTCGATATCATATAACAGTTTCTCTATTATATATTATAAATATCTAATGCCCGTGCATTTCCGAGCGAAAACTTGGTCACGAAGGCCGGCGTCATGCTGTCTCCACCTTGGCATACCGACGCCAGCTTCAAGGCGAGTCAGTGACATACTCGACGCCTGCCGTCACAACGTTGACCTCAAAGCTTGCAACAGCTTTTTAATGATCTTCTCATCTGCGTATATAAAGGAGACGGCAAGCACAGATCCCCTGATGCCAATAAATTTACACAACGGGAATGTGACGTTCGTCTTCACCAAAATCTCCTCCGTCTTACGATGGCATCAAGATTTTTTCCTGCTGCACTCATTGAAAAGTTTCTATGCGGACTGCCGAGATAATTGACCACATCCATTTAGAAATTTTTTTATCTAAATCTCGTCAAAACCAATTTAGGTCAGAATCCATCTTATTTGACTCCTTCGCAAATTTTCGAGGAAGTTCGCCCCCTCAGTGCAGTTTAACCTACTGACCTATAGTTATCTGACCTACTGATCACGCCGTCAAGAGACTGATGGAGTAGCAGTCGTTGATCAGAGACCTGTTTCATTTTAGCAAACGACTCAGCCTTATGCTGCCTCAGACTTTGATAAACTAATGTATATGAATAAAATGAATTAAGAATGTTTTGATTTTGCCTAGTAAGTATCTATTCATGCGCAACGACTCTTTAATTTTTCCACGTTTACTGTTCACCGTTAATTCTCTAGATTATTATCCTCTGTATTAATCCCTATCTAAGTTAGCTTAATTTTCTACTTTGTTAGTACTTTCGAGTGTGTTGCCGTGTTTATCTAGAGAGCAAAGATTTTTTTAGCGCATTCATAACGATTTGATTAACGTCGTCGAATGTCTCTATTAGAATTTATTGATCGGCGCTTCATTCTTGTTTGATACATTTTTTACCAGTTGAATTCATTTTCTTTATTGTACGTTCTTGGGTTATGATTTCTTTTGCCTGCTAAATAAGCTGTTGTTGTCAGACTCAGTATACAAGTCGTTCGTGTCAAATTGAGGGACCAATTTCCCCGCGGTAGGGAGGTCGTTATCATGAATCTGGACTTTGTTACTTTTAAGATTTCTGACTATGATGAGACAGGAATATTATTTTTTTATTTGCGAGTAGAACTATATCTACACTACTTGCCTATAAACTTTGATATTCATGCTTGCCTATGATCGTTGGTTTAACGTTCTAACGCTTGCTAAAGTTCTTGCTTGCTATAACGCTTTAACGTTTTTGCTTGCCTATAATCTTTGGTTTAGCGTTCTAACGCTTGCTAAAG